TACGATTTTATTAAAAAAAACTAAAAATTGGTTCGGTTCGTTCTGTTTAGTTGGTTTTTAAATATCCATTGACACCCTGGTCAAACTTTTGAATTTTAACAACCAAACACACGATTATAATTTATAACAAGAGTTTAACCTTAAAAAACATGTATCGAACTAATAGTGGTTGACTTGTAAATTTTAATATTTAAATATTAAATTTGCACATTGATACATTTGATAGAGCAAGTTGTATATGAATATTTATGGAATTTTTACACCCTATAGAAAACCTTAGTACCCTATTTATTTTAAATAAATACCATTTTAAAATATTATATCATATAGATACCTTTTATACTTTATAGCCAAATATCTAATTATAGTTACATCCTACATTTAAGGCACCATATATGCTAAATAATATTTTCCTCTCTCCTTTTTAGTCTTTTCTCTCACATAATCACCGTAAAATTGACTAACCACGTTCTCTCTCTCTCTTTTTGCATACACTTTACTCTTTCTCCCTCAACCCACGATTTATACCTCTTCTCCCACCCAAATTCTCTAGTTCTCCTCCATTATCACTCCATTACAATCGCTTAGGGTAAGTTTAATTCGTTGATTTTGATAGACGAAGAGCAATTAGTTCAACTGTAGCGGCTCGACTCTGCATGGCAGTAGTCGTCGAAGTAGGGTTCACAGCTTTTGCGTAATTCATGGCTTCATTTGTGGGATTTGAGGGCTGGGGATTGTTTGTAAATGTTGTAGGAGGTTGGGCAGATGTGTTAGGGAGCTGACCAGCCGGAATTAATGGTTTGCCGCCGGCCAGCGAAGCCATAAGGCTGTTTCTCTCTCTAGATCGCCCAAATCGCCTATTTGTATTCAGTTGTATTCGAATGTATATTTCAGCTGTATTCATATGTATTCAGCAGCATTCATTTTATATATTTTAGATGTATTAAAAAGTTATGCGTATTCTCTTGTATTCAGTTTTAATCAGTTGTATTTAACTATTTTATTCAGCAGTAGTTAGTTGTATTCAAGTGTTTTATACAACTGTATTCAGTTGTATTCAGTTGTAGTTAGTTATATTCAACTATTTTATTCAGCAGAAGTTAGTTGTATTTTGTTGCATTCAAGAGTTTTATTCAGTTGTATTCAGTTGTATTTTGTTGTATTTAAGTATTTTATTCAGATGAATTAAGTTGTATTTTATTGTATTCAACTGTATACAGTTCTACTCAACTGTATTATTCATATGTATTTCTCTTTATTCAGCTATAATCTTTATTATGTATCATTCAAATACAGATTAATGAGGGATCGTTTTCGTTTGTTGAGTTAAATTAGGAGAATATCATGTGATTTGATTTCCTTCCGTTTTTAACCAGTTTAACCTTCAAGATTTTGCGCAGATATGTTACTGTATTTAACGTTAATGCCACTTGAATACAGCTAAATACATGTCAAACTTAGCTGGAATTCCACTTTTTACGCCTATTTTTTTGGTTGTATTAATGAATACAACAACTTAAATACATGAAATACATTGTATAAAAACGTAAAAGGTATCTATAACACGTAATATAGCAAAGGGTATCTATAAATGGCTAATTAAACCTAAAAGATGGTGCTTTATGAAAAATTCAAACAGCTATGATCCAGTGCATGGAATTTAGTCATACTAGATATATTATTCAATTGTTCTTTTTGTTTCCCTTTAATTTCCCTAGCTTAGAACGAAGGCATGCGATAAATGTTTTTTAAAAAAGAAACTATATATATATATATATATTCAGAATTGCTGCAATTAAGATGTTATTTTGACTTTCCAGTTGTGGCTAATACTGAAATATTGAGGTTTATCTGAACATCATTATCGTATTTGTTTTGTAAGATTTTACTGCTGTCTTTCAAATTGCAACTAAGCTATCATTGAACTGCCGTCCAACCAATAATTTCATGGTAATTTATCTTTCTTTTAGACTTCTTTTGATTTTTTAGCGCATAAAAATATCATCAATTTAGGTGCCCCAAAAAAGTCATGACACATCCAGTTTGTTTATTAATTTATTTATTTATTTGCAGACGGCACGTGACAATATTATAAGTTTATTTATTTGGCTTTTGGAAGGGGTTGGGGTGGGGGGATTGTTTTCCCTTATCCCATTTCAAAAGAGACACATATTTTATTGCGTCAATAACGCTTTTTTTTTTTTGTTTTTGAAGTAAATAATATATTGATCGAGTCACAAGAATTCGGCCTCTATTTTAATAAAATTTAATTTACCAATTACAAAATGAGAATTCATACCTTAAATAACCAAATATAATATGAGAATTGAAAACCTATATGTTTAGTTTATGTACCAAGAATTTTTCTCATAATTTTGCTTTAGTTTATGTACCTCTTGTAATATTGTTTATTCTTAATTTCCAAGATTAAACAACTTGTAACAAGTTATCTTTTGCCCATAGGAATTATGACGTGACAGTTGAACAAGTAGATTCATCCTCCCACGAACTAGCTTGACATTCTAATTCCATAAATGAATTAATAAGATTAACTAAAGATGGTCAATGACACGTGACAAATAAATTCTCTTATTTAAAGACCCTGCCCTACTTATATAACCAAATTAAAAAGGTCTTGTTTGGAAGCATATATGCAAATTGACAAATCCAACTTTCAATATTGGCCCCATGGTGTTAGTGGATACAACAATATTAATTGCAGATAATTAATTATATCGATAAAAGTTTTGAATCTCTCCGTCTCAAATTATCTGTCGTGTTTCTATTTTACTTCCAACTTAAGAAAATATTAATTAAAAAGAATTTTGGACTAATTTAATCTTATTTATGTCTTAAGATATAATTTCTCTTGATTGAATATTATCTTGAACTTCTAAAAAAATGACAAATATTTTGAGACAACTATTTTTAGAAATTATAACAGACAATTTGAGACGGAGGGAGTAATTTTGTCATAGTCCATGTGAAAAAATCACATTAAAGATTGTGGTGTTCTATCATCCACGCTGTCAAACTTTAATACTGTGGTGGCGCTTAGATTTATCTGTAAAAACATTGAATTTTGAAAAATTATTCAAAAATTTTGAAAGATAATTTCAATGTGTTAGGATTAATTTTGAGAATGTGTTTTTGGATGACTTGTACTCCCTCCATACCTAAAAATGGGAACCAAATTGCATGATGGTGAACAAATCAAATTTTGCTGCGTGGATTCGAAAAATGATTTCATAAATTTGATATAAGAATTATCTATTCAAAAATTACATAAAAAGCATATAAATGACAATATTTTATAATTAAATATTTTAAAAGATCTCAATTAAAGAAAAAGTTATTTGACTATCCAAATAGAAATAGTCACATATATTGGGACATAAGGCTATAATATTTTAATGAAACTTGGATTATCTTGTTTTTCGCTTACAGAAACATGCTAGTTAATTTGATTTTTAGAACTCAAGCAAATTATGTTTTTACAAAGACGAATTTAATTATGATTTTTTAAAATGTTTTGAATTTCTTTGGTAAAACAAAGGAGCCTTAATTTTTTAGCAATGGTTAGTGCTTTGGTCTATGATGAGGGCGTTCTTCCTTATACAGTTGCAAAATATGGTAAGACTAAAGTATCTATAGGCGAGAGTTGTTAATAAAATAATGTAAATTTAAGCACATTAAAATGCATTCCTTGTGTACATTCTTATTTATTATAAAACATAATGATTATGGACACAAGTTAACTATTAAATAGTAGCAACCACTTATTTATATTTTTTTTGTCGTGTATGAGTTGGCAGCAGCGGAGTCAAGAATTTGATAAAGGATATTCAAATAAACCCCTTCACCAAAGGTTGCTCCGGTTGATGGATAAATTAGATTTTCCTATCAAGAGAATTACACATTTGATTTTGAGGTTAATTTAATATTTTTTATTTTATTTTTAAGCAAGAAATTAAGGTATAGCTATGTAAACGCCTCTTTTTCCCTTAGCGCAACTCGAAATAATGGTGGCCATTAAATTTGAACTCGTAATATTGCGCAATTAGTCATATAGTATCTTCTCTCATGTTCTTTAAATTACAAAAAAATTTATAATATAAAAATTATCTTTCTAAAACCTAGTCAACATAAATATAAAAGTGGTCAGAAAATGTCATTTTTGGCCAAAAAAGTAATGTGACTCTTAATTTTGCTTAATAAAAAAGATCGTATAATCAACCCATTTTAACACCCGTGCACATTTGATGTAATGCATGTCTAAATAAAGGTTAGCAAATTTAATTTCGAGAATTAATATAATTAGGCTATTCTAAAATTGGCAGTTAATTCGCGACTCTTTTTTTTTTTTTTAATCTGGACATATGAGCAACCATGCTTGCTAAATGCTAAGCTCACATAGGCAGATATATCTGCAAAAGTGTATGTAATAAGAATTTTAAGATATTTAATTTAAATTATCTGTGATAAACCAAACAACGTATTCTTAGATATTTTATAACGTTATACCAAATTGCAAATTCCAGCGCGAATCCGGATTAGTCGGGCCCCAATATGAATACCGAATACTGAGTGAGAAATCAAAAAAAAAAAAAAATGGACATCATCTTTTATATAGCGGATAACTTATTGTAAGATATATTTAGAAAGGAACAAACGAAAACATTAACATCTTGTTTGGATGTATTGAAAGGAAGCATCTTCAGCTGAATTGAATGAAGAGGATAGGTGAGGAAGAAGAAGCGAGAGAGAAGAAAGAGAAAATTCTCTGTTTTGTTATTCAAAAAATAAAAGCCTCAATTTACACGTGTGTGTCTTTCCTCATTTTTAATACCTACCCACCTAATACAAATTAATTAGCTTAACTACTCAACTAACTGTATATATGAAACTAACTAACTGACTCCAAACTAACATGTACAACACCAATAGCCTATTTACAAGTATTGCTACTACTACTCTTTTCAACACCCCCCCCCCCCCCCTCAAGTTGGGTGATGAAAAATGTTGATTATCCCCAACTTGCAAACCATCTCATTATGTAGCTGTTTTCCAAGTGCCTTGGTTAGTATATCTGCAATTTGATCTTTACTGGGAACATAAGATGTTTTAATCATGCCCTGTTGTAGTCTTTCTCGAATGAAGTGGCAGTCAATCTCTATGTGCTTTGTGCGCTCATGATACATTGGATTTGAAGCAATCTGTATAGCTGCTTTGTTATCACAGTACAACTCCATAGGCAAATCAACTTGCATTCCTAGTTCTTCCAGCAGTCCATGTATCCAAGTTAACTCAGCCATAGTGCTTGCCATGCTTCTATACTCAACATCTGCTGAACTTCTTGAAACAGTCCTCTGTTTCTTGGATTTCCAAGAAATCATGGAGTCTCCGGGTTTCATGCAAAAGCTTGTAACAGACTTCTTTGTCACTGAGCAGGATGCCCAATCTGCATCACAAAATGCAGATACCTTCCTACTCTGTTTGCTACTCATTAACAAACCTTGTCCTAGACAATTCTTGATATATTTCACTACCCTCAATGCTGCATCATAATGAGACTGTTTTGGTGCATTCATAAATTGACTGAGAACTTGGACTGTATATGAAATATCTGGCCTTGTGATTTCCAAATACAAGAGTCTCCCTATAAGTCTCTGATACATTCTGATGTCTTCAAGCTCTATATCATGTCCTTGCATACCAAAAGCTTGTCATATTCGACACTAGTGAGTTTCATGTTCTGGTCTAAAGGGGAAATGTTGGCTTTGCTCCTCCTAGGCCACATTCTGACACAAGTTCCAACGCATACTTCCTTTGGTTCATGAGGATTCCCTTATGTGATCTTGCAAATTAAATACCAAGGAAAAACTTTAGCTCTCTCAAATCCTTTATCTTGAAATTGTGATTCAATATATCTTTGGCTTCTTGAATTATCATAACCTGTGATCAAAAGATCATTAACATATACCAATATAATCACTATGGCATTCCCTGTTTTCTTAGTGAATAGTGAATGATCCAATTTGCTTTGGTTGAAACCAGACTGTGTGAGAGCTGAGGTGAGCTTTAAATTCCATTGTCTGCTAGCCTGTTTAAAGCCATAGAGGGATTTGAGTAGTCTACACACTCTAGTCTCCCCTAACTACCAAACCCTTGAGGCAATGACATATAGACTTCTTCTGAAAGGTCACCCTATAGGAAAGTGTTGTACACATCCATCTAAAGCAGGGGCCAACCATACTAAGCAGCTAGAGCAACAACACTCCTGACTGTGACCATCTTCACCACAGGTGAGAAGGTCTCATGGTAATCCAACCCCTCTTGTTAAGTGAACCCCTAGGCAAATAATCGAGCTTTGTATCTTTCCACAGTCCCATCAGCCTTGTACTTCACCTTATAAACCTATTTGCAACCAATTGGAGTCTTGCCTGCAGGTAAATCTACCAACTCCCAGGTGTTATTGTCAGTGAGGGCATGAACCTCAAGCTCCATAGCCTGTACCCAATTGTTGTCTTTAGCAGCTTGTTTAAAGGTTGTAGGTTCAACAATGGAAGAATAAGAGGTGAGACAGGCTTGATAAGAAGGTGATAAAGAAGATTAGTTGAGGAAGGAAGAAAAGGGGTAAGGAATAGAAGTACACTTGACTTGATGCACATAATCAGTTAACCATAACGGGGGATTAGATGTCCTGGCAGACTTCCTCAGAGTGACATCTGAAATGTGAGTGGTATGTGGCTCAATGAGAAGTTGGAGGTGAACATGATGGTACATCATCCCTGGCAGGGAATGTATCATCATATGAAGGAATAGAAGCTGGACTAGGAAAGGTAGGAGCTGAGTTAGGGAGATGTGAATGTAGAAATGTGGACTTGGGATGTCTAAAAGGAAATGTATTTTCTCTAAAAGAGACATCTCTGCTGACAAAAAAGGTTCTTGATGAAATGTTGTATAGTTTATACCCTTTTTGAGTTTCTGAGTAACCCATGAAGATGGCAGGAATGGCTTTAGAAGAGAACTTGTCTGTGAAGCATGGGGTGGTTGCATAGCACAAACAGCCAAACACTTTAAAATGAGTAAGTGAAGGTAGTTGACCATGAAATAGTTCATAAGGAGATTTCCCTGAAAGAACTGAAGAAGGCAATCTGTTAATGATGAAGGCAGCTGTAAGAACACATTCTCCCCAGAATTTTAAGGGTACATGGGCATGAAACCTAAGGGCTCTAGCCATTTCAAGTAAATGCATGTGCTTTCGTTCAGCCACTCCATTTTGTTGTGGAGTGTGCACACAAGAACTTTGATGGACAATCCCAAGAGAAGTGAAAAGAGTTGCACATTGAGCATTAAAAAATTCAACACCATTATCAGACCTAATAGTCTTGATAGAAGCAGAAAATCGAGTCTTAACAAGTGCAATAAAAGACTTGATTAACAAGAACACATCAGTTTTCATTCTCATCAAGTAGATCCAAGTCATTCTAGAATAATCGTCTATAATGGTAAGAAAGTATCTATATCCATTGTAAGTGGATTGTCTATATGGACCCCACACATCCATATGTACAAGATCAAAAGGGGTTACAGTTTTATTATGACTAGTAGGAAAGGGGAGCTTAGTCTGCCTTGCTAAAGGACAGATAGTACAAGACAACAACTCATGGGCTTTTAGAAATTGAATTTTCTGTAGGACTGCTAGTGGAGCATGGCCAAGTCTATGGTGCCATATAGAGCACTGATTTGAATGCTTTGATGGAGAGCAAGGTAGAAGCTAGAACTGACACGGGAGAAGCAGCAGGAACTGAAACAGGAGGGGCAACAGGACAGGAATTTGTAGTAGGTATTGTTGTATTGAATGCTATGGCTAATGATTGCTCAGGTGCTTTAACAGGTGATGGCTTCTTAGCAGGTTGAAGTATGTAGAGGTCATCCTTCTCCTTACCAATCCCCCTCACCTTGCTAGTGCAAAGGTCCTGAAAAATGCAAAATTAGGGGAAGAATAATGCACAACATCTCAGCTCTTTGGTAAGTTTGGATACTGATAACAGGTTATATTTGAAATTTGGAACATAAAGCACATTATACAATTCAAGATCATCAGAAAGATTAATGACCCTATTGTGTTACTGATGAAATATTTCCATTTGGTAGATGGACTTTACTGATATTGGGAAACACAGGAGTAGATTGAGTTAAAAGATCCAGACTAAAAGCCATATGGTTTGAGGCCCCAGTGTCAATTATCCACGAGTTAGGTTCAGAACCTGCAAGCAAACAAGTGTCAAGGAATTCTTTTATACCTGCCATGTTAACTTTGGCTTCTGCAACTGCTGGTTCATGGCTGATTAATTTCAAAAGTTGATCATATTGCTCTGAGGTAAACATTGGCATGCTGCTAGTCCCTGATGATCCACTTGCTTCTAGTTCTTCAACATGACTAACATTGTTGGCAGAATGTCCAAGACTGACACTATTAGCTGAATGTCCCCTGTTATCTCCTAAACTCTGTGGCCTATCATAGGTTCTCCTTTTGTTGAACTTGTGATTGGAAGGATATCCCACCAACTTTTAGCAGTTTTCTCTTATGTGTCCTTTTATATTACAGTAATCACAATAAGGTCCATTGTTTCTTTTGAACCTGTTGTTTTGTAATCATTCAAGTTCATCTATTGCAGTGTTGGTATAAGTTGTGACATCATGTTGGACTGAATCCTTTGGCTTTCATCCTGCATTATCATATTGTAAGCTTGATTGAGGGTTGGAACAGGGACTGTTAGCAACACTTGACTCCTAGCTTGGGCATATGTTTCGTTTAATCCCATTAGAAACTGTACAAGTCTCTGTTGTTCCATATGTTCTGCATACTCTTTATGTTTTGCACAGTCACATAGCAAAGGTACCATGGACCAATATTCATCCCAAACACTCTTCAATTTTGAGTAATGTTCCGATACTGATGATGTGCCCCGACTTATGGTGCAAATTTCACGGAGCAATTGATAGACTCTAGTCAAGTTTTTCTTGTTAAATCGTTCCTCAAGGTCCATCCAAACACTGGTAGCATTAGTTGAATACATCATTCCATTTGCCAACTCTTTTGATACAGAATTAGTTATCCATGACCGAAAGAAAGCATTACATCGTTCCCATTCATGTTCTAAGTCGCCTTTATAATGTTCTTTGCAACACGTCCCATCTATGAACCCTAATTTGTTCTTCGCCAATAACGAAACCTTCATAGAACTTCTCCATGCTGTATAATTTTCAATTCCTGTTAATTGATGTAGAACTAAAACACTACCTGGACTATCCGATGGATGCAGATAAAGAGGATGCCTAGGATGAATATCTGTGAACTTCTCTGCATTGCTCGTCTCAGTTTCTCCAGATTCCGGCATTTTTACTTTCAATTTCTTAGCAATTTGAAATCAAAACTCACCTTGATGTGAAATAGGAATGAACGAAGGCTCCGACTGTAAAAATTACTGGATTTTAGGGTAGATCTACCTCTCACACAACAATCGTGAAATTCTAGGGCTAATCTGAGTTTCTCTCAAATCTTCAACGAAATAGAGTTGATTCTTCACCAAGAATCACAAATTCCACAATAATTCAGCTCGAAAACACCATGGATCTATGGCTCTGATACCATATTGAAAGAAAGCATCTTCAGCTAAATTGAACAAAGAGGATAGGTGAGAAAAAAGAAGAGAGAGAAGAAAGAAAGAATTCTTTGTTTTGTTATTCAGAAAATAAAAGCCTCAATTTACACGTGTGTGTCTTTCCTCATTTATAATACCTACCCACCTAATAAAAATTAATTAGTTTAACTACTCAACTAACTGTACATATGAAACTAACTAACTGACTCCAAACTAACATGTACAACACAAATAGCCTATGTACAAGTATTGCTACTACTACTCTTTTCAACAGGATGGTTGTACCCATTGTATTGTATTGTATTGTTATCCCAAAATAATATTTATTTTGATTGTTATTAACATTGATTGTATTGTATTGTTAGGTGTGGCGGGATTGTTTCCTATTTTTCTTTCTAATTATTCCCTAACTTATTACTCCATAATTCTAATCTACTTCTACCGCTTCATACTCCAACGTAAAAGGTATAAGTTTTGTCTTTTTTTTATTTCGCTTTTTCTCCTAATGTGATTTTAACTCCAATTCTTTGTTCGTTTCTGCCAATTCTCGTTCTTTTATTTATCAAAGTTTTTTCTTTCTTTTTCTAATGATAGTTAAAGACATATTTGGTGATAAATTACTAGAGAGGAATTTTCTTAAATTATTTTTATGCGTAATTCTTGATAAATTTAATATTTAAATAATCGAGGGTATTTTAGTAAACTTATCAGTTACAGTACAATACAATATAGTCAAACCAAACAGCAAAATATTATTTAACAACAACAAACAATATAATCTATCCGAATATTATATCATAAAACGATACAACACAATACAATATATTATAATACGATGGGTAACAACCATCCAAACAAGCTGTAAACGTACAACGAAAAAGTAAAAAAGAAGTGGCAAATGGCAAAATAATATAATACAGCCTGCTAAGTTTGAATGTGAAGACCAAGGCTTGGATATGAATTAAATCAATTAGAGATCCAGTGTAACAAATTAAGACAGCCATGTC